CTGTAGTCAACGCTTTGTGTTGCCAGTGAGTCGCTGTTAGATGCTCAATGTCAAGCGCAGTAGTAATCGTTGTAAATCTGTACTTACAACAAAATGGAAGAACTATGGCATCTAAGATTAAGGAAGTGTATGCAGGATTTCTTGAGTGTCACCGGTCCACTGCATGCCGTACCTGGATTGTAGCATGCAGTCCGTCAAGGTTCCAGCTATGAAAGAGTCCAGAATGAAACTAAAGCTAATCTAAATTTCATGGATTGATTATGGCATCGAGTAAGACAAATGCTCCAAGGCTGTCACCTGTGAACCTGCCAGCAGCACTTAGTATGTGCCTTGAAAGGAATTCCAAGTGAAACCTCTCTCTGACACCTCTCTATCGACTTCCATGCCCAGCAGCATGCCAGCATACATGGGAAGTTGCAGTCTGAAGCCGGCACGGGAAACCCAAAACGCTATCACCTGAGCATCACATGATTGCTACCGCTCATTATTGCGCTCGCCAATGATCGGCCAAAAATTTATAATAGTAGTAGTTGTTGTTAGTTCTTTTTGAAAAGCTGTAACTCTTAGGTAAAAATGATTCTTCCTTTATTTCTAACTCTAAAAAGGTAACCTCTTAGGTAAAAAATGATACTGCCGTACAGTCTCTATAGGGAAGAAGGCCAATGATGCCGTACAGTCTCTATAGGGAAGAAGGCCAATGATGCCGTACAGTCTCTATAGGGAAGAAGGCCCATGAACAAGGCCCTCAAGTCGTACGGCCTAAAGCGAAATCTATCCGTACTGGAAGTGTGATGTTAACTACTTATTGAAAGATGGTGAACTCAATTGGTACTTGCATGCTTCTGAATAAGTCATAACAGAATTCTGTTATTACTATTACAGGCTAATTCGATTTAGCCTGTCCTGTACATACAGACAGGAGTTGTGAAGAACAATGCTGACAGTGCGAGCTGGTGGTTCGAAATGTCTAGCTTGAAGACAGCATGAGAGATTCTTTGCTAGTAAAACCTCAAGTAGATGGCTTAAGTGTGTAGCATATGTCTTTCAAATTTATAACAGGGTTTAAGGAAGGGGATTGAGTACATATAATTGTCACTTTTTAGAAAGGAACAAAACATGAACACATTGCCAGCATATGACCATTGGGAACATGACTGAATTTACATATATAAGTGGCAATTCATGATCCGTCATGCTTCGCAAGGAGCATGACAACTGTCATGACCATGACTCTGCCTCATGACCGGTAACATGACCGGTCATGAGGCCTCATGAGTGGTCATGAGGCAACATGACCAGATCTATGACAGGAAACCCCCCGCATGACCACATCCATGACCAAGTCTTTCCCCGAGTGCGTCACTGGCTCTACCTGCTAAGCGGAATCTGCAACAATTTCTTTTAAACCCTAAAACCCTAAAACCCTAAACCCTAAGTATATGACAGCATATTGATCTTTCGCCTTGTAGCGTGCTTGATGCTGTGTGGTAAAGCACTGTGTTCCGCGTCTGCGTCCATTTTGCCTGCCAAAAGTGGTGAACCAACTTAATCAAATGCAAATTTACAATGTCATGAAAGCGAAAATGTAGGTAGTGCTGTTACGCACTTTTCGGCGGCGGCAAGATTTCGCACGGCATCATCGCACGACCGATCTGCGTCGCTGTTCAGCCAGTATTTAGCCCAGTACATAAATAGCAAATACTGTGTATTACATATGACTTCTTCTTTTCACAATTTGTAAGGTTAGTTTGGCTTCTTTTCCTTCGCCGTTATCGTTCTGATAGACTGATCCTTGAGTCAATACATTCATTAAATCCTTGGACTGCTAGTGAATATAAAGCTAGTAAATATTGTCATTGTCGGTACAATCGCTGACGTTCAGCATTGTGGTCATGCTCGCCATGACCACGACACACTATGACGACGGGTGATCGCCTTAAGTCCGCGTCAGTTCGCGTAACGGTGCGAATCTTAGCGCTAGGTGCGAATGAGCATGCTTTTGTAACGCAAAGAGCTAACGCACAACGGCTATGAAAAAGCGGAAATCGGCCCTCCTGGCTAAAATTTTTAAATTTTATAATTTTCAGATTGTAAAGGTTCATTTGGAAATAAACTTGCGTCGTTTTGGTCGACTTAAGCAATTCAATCCGTGCGTATGTGAAACGCGAA